GAGCCTGTATCAACCAGTCTACAGAGCCTGTATCAACCAGTCTACAGAGCCTGTATCAACCAGTCTACAGAGCCTGTATCAACCAGTCTACAGAGCCTGTATCAACCAGTCTACAGAGCCTGTATCAACCAGTCTACAGAGCCTGTATCAACCAGTCTACATAACCTGTATCAACAGTCTACAGAGCCTGTATCAACCAGTCTACAGAGCCTGTATCAACCAGTCTACAGAGCCTGTAATTAACCAGTCTACAGAGCCTGTATCAACCAGTCTACAGAGCCTTATCAACCAGTCTACAGAGCCTGTATCAACCAGTCTACAGAGCCTGTATCAACCAGTCTACAGAGCCTGTATCAACCAGTCTACAGAGCCTGTATTAACCAGTCTACAGAGCCTGTATCAACCAGTCTACAGAGCCTGTATCAACCAGTCTACAGAGCCTGTATTAACCAGTCTACAGAGCCTGTATCAACCAGTCTACAGAGCCTGTATCAACCAGTCTACAGAGCCTGTATCAACCAGTCTACAGAGCCTGTATCAACCAGTCTACAGAGCCTGTATCAACCAGTCTACAGAGCCTGTATCAACCAGTCTACAGAGCCTGTATCAACCAGTCTACAGAGCCTGTATCAACCAGTCTACAGAGCCTGTATCAACCAGTCTACATAACCTGTATCAACCAGTCTACAGAGCCTGTATCAACCAGTCTACAGAGCCTGTATCAACCAGTCTACAGAGCCTGTATCAACCAGTCTACAGAGCCTGTATCAACCAGTCTACAGAGCCTGTATCAACCAGTCTACAGAGCCTGTATCAACCAGTCTACATAACCTGTATCAACCAGTCTACAGAGCCTGTATCAACCAGTCTACAGAGCCTGTATCAACCAGTCTACAGAGCCTGTATCAACCAGTCTACATAACCTGTATCAACCAGTCTACAGAGCCTGTATCAACCAGTCTACAGAGCCTGTATCAACCAGTCTACAGAGCCTGTATTAACCAGTCTACAGAGCCTGTATCAACCAGTCTACAGAGCCTGTATCAACCAGTCTACAGAGCCTGTATCAACCAGTCTACAGAGCCTGTATCAACCAGTCTACAGAGCCTGTATCAACCAGTCTATAGAGCCTGTATTAACCAGCCTACAGAGCCTATATAAACCAGTTTCAGAGCCTATATAAACCAGTTTCAGAGCCTATATAAACCAGTTTCGGATCCTATATAAACCAGTCTACAGGGCCCATATAAACCACTCTACAAAACCTATACATATAAACAAGTCTACAGAGCTTAATATATTAAGGTTAACTGTATGAAAGTTTTACACAAGACAAAATAACCAGCTTAGCCCTGGTAGCCACACATCTACATTATTATAATAATCAAAACTAAGCACTAAACCCACCAGTGTCACACAGTGCTGCTCATATACACGTACAAGTCTGTAAAAAATATAATTTTTGGCACCCCGACTATTAATATGCCTTCAGGGTCTCAAAGAATTTAATTATACAGCCTAAAAGAAAAAAGTATTCGAGAGAATTAGTTGTCAGTGTCGAGAATGTGGCTTCAATACTACATGGAAGACCCCAGTGGCAATACAAGGACCCCAGTGGCGATACAAGGACCCCAGTGGCGATACAAGGACCTCAGTGGCAATACAAGGACCCCAGTGGCGATACAAGGACCCCAGTGGCAATACAAGGACCCCAGTGGCGATACAAGGACCCCAGTGGCAATACAAGGACCCCAGTGAAAATACAAAGATCCCAGTGGCAATACAAGGACCCCAGTGGCAATACAAGGACCCCAGTGGCAATACAAGGACCCCAGTGACAATACAAGGATCCCAGTGGCAATACAAGGACCCCAGTGGCAATACAAGGACCCCAGTGGCAATACAAGGGCGCCAGTGGCAATACAAGGACCCCAGTGGCAATACAAGGACCCCAGTGGCAATACAAGGACCCCAGTGGCAATACAAGGACCCCAGTGGCAATACAAGGACCCCAGTGGCAATACAAGGACCCCAGTGGCAATACAAAAACCCGTGGCAATACAAGGACCCCAGTGGCAATACAAGGACCCCAGTGGCAATACAAGGACCCCAGTGGCAATACAAGGACCCCAGTGGCAATACAAGGACCCCAGTGGCGATACAAGGACCCCAGTGGCGATACAAGGACCCCAGTGGCAATACAAGGACCCCAGTGGCAATACAAGGACCCCAGTGGCAATACAAGGACCCCAGTGGCAATACAAGGACCCCAGTGACAATACAAGGACCCCAGTGGCAATACAAGGACCCCAGTGGCAATACAAGGACCCCAGTGGCAATACAAGGACCCCAGTGGCAATACAAGGACCCCAGTGGCAATACAAGGACCCCAGTGGCAATACAAGGACCCCAGTGGCAATACAAGGACCCCAGTGGCAATACAAGGACCCAGTGGCAATACAAGGACCCCAGTGGCAATACAAGGACCCCAGTGGCAATACAAGGACCCCAGTGGCAATACAAGGACCCCAGTGGCAATACAAGGACCCAAGTGGCAATACAAGGACCCCAGTGGCAATACAAGGACCCCAGTGGCAATACAAGGACCCCAGTGGCAATACAAGGACCCCAGTGGCAATACAAGACCCCAGTGGCAATACAAGGACCCCAGTGGCAATACAAGGACCCAGTGGCAATACAAGGACCCCAGTGGCAATACAAGGACCCCAGTGGCAATACAAGGACCCAGTGGCAATACAAGGACCCCAGTGGCAATACAAGGACCCCAGTGGCAATACAAGGACCCCAGTGGCAATACAAGGACCCCAGTGGCAATACAAGGACCCCAGTGGCAATACAAGGACCCCAGTGGCAATACAAGGACCCAGTGGCAATACAAGGACCCCAGTGGCAATACAAGGACCCCAGTGGCAATACAAGGACCCCAGTGGCAATACAAGGACCCCAGTGGCAATACAAGGACCCCAGTGGCAATACAAGGACCCCAGTGGCAATAAGTAACTAACATTTTTTGGGGTTATCCTAGGTAATCCACACACACATTACCATCTATGATAACTGTATTTATCTGTACCTGCACCTAAATAAACGTACTCAGCAGCAAGAAGTACGTGCGTCACCATCCAAGGTCCAGCACAGACTGAGCTGCTTCAACACTCAACACGTGGGGCAAAAAATGTCTTGACCACCATTTAAGTCAGTAAGTTTATTTAGATAGAGGCACATGTAAGTACAGTTATTATATATTGTGTAAATTACCTTGGATAATACCCTCAAAAGTGACTTATTTCTATTTGGGTCCTTGTTTTGTTATTGGGGTTCTTGTTTTGTTATTGGGGTCCTCATTTTGTTATTGGGGTCCTTGTTTTGTTATTGGGGTCCTTGTTTTATTATTGGGGTCCTTGTATTATTATTGGGGTCCTTGTATTATTATTGGGGTCATTGTATTATTATTGGAGTCCTTGTATTATTATTGGGGTCCTTGTATTATTATTGGGGTCCTTGTATTATTATTGGGGTCCTTGTATTATTATTGGGGTCCTTGTATTATTATTGGAGTCCTTGTATTATTATTGGGGTCCTTGTATTATTATTGGGGTCCTTGTATTATTATTGGGGTCCTTGTATTATTATTGGGGTCCTTGTATTATTATTGGAGTCCTTGTATTATTATTGGGGTCCTTGTATTATTATTGGGGTCCTTGTATTGCCATTGGGACCCTTGTATTGCCATTGGGACCCTTGTATTGCCATTGGGACCCTTGTATTGCCATTGGGACCCTTATATTGCCATTGGGACCCTTGTATAAATAAGTACAATTATCATACACATTAAAATGTCCCAGGATAACCCGAAAAAGTCATAAGCTGGGTTATTCTACCCTGAACTTTCATCATATATAACTATTTTGAGTACAATAATAGCGTACTTAATTAATGTAAGGACTGAAGAATCTTAAAACAATGCTATATAAATATATAGGCACTCCAATGTTAATAAGTCACTGATGTTTTTTTTTTTGGAGTGGTGTTATCCTAGGTAATTTACACATAAGTTACTATGTATAATAATTGTAATTACCTAAATCTGCATGCTAGTGGCATTCTTATGTGCCTAATAATGTTATTATTACATGTAAGGTATCTTATCTGTATACTGCATAAAAGAAATAAAGTTTAATAATAATAATAATAATAATAATAATAATAATAATAATAATAATAACAATAATAATAATAATAATAATAATAATAATAATAATAATAATAATAATAATAATAATAACAATAATAATAATAATAATATAATAATAATAATAAATAATAATAATAATAATAATAATAACAATAATAATAATAACAATAATAATAATAATAATAATAATAATAATAATAATAATAATAATAATAATAATAATAAAAATACTTTATTTCAGAACTGAATATATACTTGTACCTAAATAAACTTATTAATTAATTCTCTCAATGGCAACAATGGCCTTTCACAGCTGAAAATAACAAGCCTAATTTTAACTCATTATGCTAATTCTATCTTATATTAATGTAGGTAATTAAGACAATATTGTTGTAAATAAAAAGTATATATATCTATAAGGTATTTTGTAAATGTATTTATAAAATATTTTGGTAAGATAGTGTTGCCAAGGCTAATGTGGCCGCGTTCACATTAAATTTTAATATTCAGAATTGAATCTCTAAATAAAATGTAATTATAATATAGTGCAGTAACATTATTAACAAATTATATATTAGTAATGTATAATTAAACAATGAATAACGTCCTCAAAAAATCCATATTCACTTCAAATGGATATTAGAATTTAAATTAGAATTTATATCAATTATGATTTAAAAAAAAACATAAATAGTGCAAACAGGATATAAATTTTAAAACAGCAATCCATGCAAAATAAATTAAATTAATCCCGAATTAAGCTAATACTTTTAAAACTAATATTCTAAATGATGTTGAGCAGGTGAACGAGGCCTCAGCCAGACCACCTCAGTGGTGACACTTGTGTTATATTGAGGAAAAACTTGAGTATTTGTGTTTGTTGTATCTTGGTAGCCTCTGACAGGCAGGATGAGTAAGGGCGGAGGCAAGATCTTCACTCCTACTAACCAGATCCGTCTGACTAACATAGCGGTGGTGCGTATGAAGAAGGGTGGGAAGAGGTTTGAGATCGCCTGCTATAAGAACAAGGTTCTTAGCTGGCGTCAGAAGATGTAAGTTAGTTTTATCTCACTTATGTTTTGTTATGTTTCACCCTCTTCCTTTGATGTCACACACATGTCTTAAATCTCACCTCTTCCTTTGATGTCACTCGTCTTAGGTCTTGCTTCTTCCCCTCACCTCTCATGTCTTCTCATATCTCACCTGTTCCCCTCACCTCACACATGTCTTGTATCTCACCTGTTCCCCTCACCTCACACATGTCTTAAATCTCACCTGTTCCCCTCACCTCACACATGTCTTAAATCTCACCTCTTCCCCTCACTTCACACATGTCTTAAATCTCACCTCTTCCCCTCACTTCACACATGTCTTAAATCTCACCTCTTCCCCTCACCTCACACATGTCTTAAATCTCACCTCTTCCCCTCACGTCACACATGTCTTCCTATGTCACCTCTATCCCTCACCTCATCTCTCGTCTTCCTACATCTCGCCACTTCCTTCACCTCACATCTCATGTCTTCCTATATCTCATCTCTTCCCCTCACTTCTCACATATCTTCTACTGTCTCACCTCTTTCCTTCACCTCATCTCTCTCACATGTCTATCTGACTCTACCAGAGTGCAGAATATTACTCAGAACAACTACAATATTTCTTAACAAAAGACTGAAAAATTCGTTTCCCATTATGATCCGTGATTATGTTAATGAGCGAACATAATATTTATGATGAAATGACCGTTCGTATATTGCAACATGAGTATGTATGTATAATGTTCGCCAAGACCATAGTCCTGGCACGGGTCCCAATCTTGCGATGACCCGTCGCAACATGAGTATACCTTAGCTATTAATTTACAGAGAGAAGGACATAGATGAAGTACTGCAGAGTGAAACTGTCTTTACCAATGTTTCCAAGGGTCAAATTGCCAAGAAGGAAGAGTTGATCAAATGTTTTAACTCTGAGGACCAGAAACAGGTCAGTGTAGCCCCAGTGTAACTTATTGACCTTATATTGTGGCACATTAAGAAGTTCTTATTTTGTAACATTTGTTAATCCATTGTGGCTAGATGGATTTATCACATACGTATCTTTTTTTTTTTTTTTTTGATATAATTGAATTCTTTTGATTTTATAATGTGATTGATAATGTCAAATTCTATGTAATAGAAAAATCCTACGACAGAAAAAAAGTGTAAATCCATTACCATTCTAAGAAGTAAATATCTTATGGTTCTTAGGCTTAGCGACAGTTGATTGAAATCTCCAATAGCAGTCAAATATTTATTTTATTATAATAATTATAAAATATTTGTTTATTTTTATTTTTCACAATTATTAAACTATATACATTACACATAGGTTGCATATACCATAATTTTGTGTGTGTGTGTATGGTACTACTCGTATAAAGGCAAGATACTTAAAAAAATGTAAATTTGCAATAAAATTACAATACATAAATGTTTCACCACATGTAGTAAAACCACATTTGCAGCATATTCATATACTGTGAGGTCAGTACTTCCACAAAAAGTATAAACCAGTTAAATTATCCCCTATCACATCATTAGAGAACATTGCTTTTCACATAAAAGTTTAGTTGTTGGTATACATTGTGTCCAGTCCCCTACATTCCTATAGATCAGTGTGATAAACAGATTAGTTTTTCTAATACGTATACATATATATACGTATATGTATATGTATATGTATATATTGGCAGTTTGGAGGGATATGTTGTGTATCTTTATACGTATATGCTTCTAAACTGTTGTATTCTGAGCACCTCTGCAAAAACAGTGATAATGTGTGAGTGTGGTGAAAGTGTTGAATGATGATGAAAGTATTTTCTTTTTGGGGATTTTCTTTCTTTTTTGGGTCACCCTGCCTCGGTGGGAGACGGCCGACTTGTTGAAAAAAAAAAAAAAAAGTATACATTTTGTACAATATTCTTCTATAGACATAGCTTGATGAAAACCACACCAGATTACTTCTGCATAGTGCAGAAACAAAGTGCATGCTTCCTCGGTCAAGAAATATTTTCATATTCATTCATTTTCAGATTTGCTTGGAGATTTTGGAGAAAGGGGAGTTACAGGTTTCTGATAAAGAGCGACAGGCAGGCCAAGAGGCTTCCGTTAAGGAAATTGCAGCAATTGTGTCAGGTATTTGGTATTCTTAATGCATCTTTGTTATACATTAATACAGTTAGTTTCATATTTTATATTAATTGATTTATCTGAGGACTCTGTAATTGCAGTGATATTCAAGAAATAACTTTTGCTTATAGGGTACATAGCAGTTAAATAAAGCAAATCTGGGGAAAGGAGACTGAAGTCAGAGTAATGGCTGGAAAAAAAAGCTGATAAGAAGAATTTTAAAGAAAAATCCAATCTAGATATATCCAATTGCCTCACACTGAGTGTAATTGGTTCAATCCCTGAAAAGAAATATTGGGTGTGTTTTATACACCTGTTGTCCCAGTTCACCTAGCAGTAAATAGGTACGTACTTGGGTGTTAGTCGCCTGATGTGGGTTGCATCCTGGGGAACAAGATTGAAGGACCCCAATGGAAATAAGTTAGACAGTCCTCAATAACGCACTAACTTTCTTCGGTTACCCTGGGTGGCTAATTCTCCAGGTTAAAAATCCAAACATATCTTACCTCATATCTCTTCTCTGAAGCACATAAGTAAACATCAGCAGCACAAGCTAGGCTCACAAACATTAGGTGGACTTCAGGAGCCTAGAAAAAACTCGTTCAAAACACTTTACCTCATACTTCAGCCCATTCTTGAGTATGCAGCACCAGTGTGCAACCTTCACCCAGAATAAAACAAAATACAACTCTAGAAAGTCTTGATAAAAAAGTTTAATAAACTGAATAATCAAACCATACCACGGGCGGGATTTGAACCCGCGGTCAGAGAGTCTCAACCGCGGGTTCTCTGACCGCTGGTTCAAATCCCACCCGTGGTATGGTTTGTTTGCAATCATGTCATTACGATTTCGTGAGTCAAACTGAATAATGACAGAGTGGATGCAACCTCCACTCTGGGTAGAGAGGTAAGAGATGAAACCAGGAACTAGAGTCCCCCATAACTCAAATACTGTAGTTAATTATGGAAAAAAATTAATCATCTATTTCTTTCCTCTGCAGACAAGTGCATAAATCCAGAGACAAAGACTCCATACACAGTTTCCATGATTGAGAATGCAATGAAAGATATTCATTTCTCACTGAATCCCAAGCGTAACAACAAGCAGCAAGCTCTTGATGTTATTAAACAACTGGCAGGGGTATGTAAAAAGTCATGCTGTCCTTTAGATGGAATTTTTCCCATAACTGAAAATTCTCATTGAATGTACTGATTACACTGAATTTTGTCAGTGCTGTATATGGGTTCCTTCTATATTGTTTGAAATGTGATAATATGACATATAAAGTTAAATGTAGTATAAAAGGCTCTTTGATTAAGTTTTATGACGACTAAAATAAAACTATAAATTTATTTTAAAAAATACTATTACACTATTACATATTAATTTCTTGATTTTAGCAGTAAACTAATGAGAAAACATATATTATTAGTTTAATATCTTCATTTACCATATTTTCCAGCATATAAGGTGCACAACAAAAGTATCGTAACAGTATATTAGCAGTCATATTCAAGGGTTAATTACCACTTTATTTTATGCTAAAGCATGACACAAAGCTTACCCTGACCTTGAACATACAAGGTGCAGGCTGACTTTCCAAGACTTTTTTTTTTTTTTTTTTGGGGGGGGGGGGAAGTCATGCCATATATGATGGAAAATATGGCATTTTATTTTGATCGGAGAAGCCATAGGGGTCATTTAGTGCCTGGGAAATGGGATTCATTCAGGTTTTATTTCTTTCATTATTTTTATATAGCATTACTTTTTATTTCTTCAGAGGATTCCCATTCAACGTGCCCAGATGAAGGTGCAAGTGACAATCCCTGGTAAAGATGCCAAAAAGTTGAAAGAGAAAGTTATATCAATGATAAAAGTTGAAAGTGAAACATTTGATCCTGATCTAAATATAGTAAGTGAAAATGACCTACTACCTTGAAAATTGTTACTTAAAATGAAATTGATTATCAAGACTAGTGTTTAAAAGCTTCTGCACTAAGTATTATAACAGTAAGCCATGTGTGATATACCTTTCATTGGGGTGATTTGCAGTAACTGCTTAAAATGTAGCTTTTACTAGGTGATTGCTAAGAAAGTTGACCAATGATAGTGTGTTAGGAAGACTTGCCTAATAATCATGGCAGATTTGCATTGCATCATCAAATTGCATTATCTCACATTTTTTTTTATTATTATTATCACACTGGCCGATTCCCACCAAGGCAGGGTGGCCCGAAAAAGAAAAACTTTCACCATCATTCACTCCATCACTGTCTTGCCAGAAGGGTGTTTTACACTACAGTTTTTAAACTGCAACATTAACACCCCTCCTTCAGAGTGCAGGCACTGTACTTCCCATCTCCAGGACTCAAGTCCGGCCTGCCAGTTTCCCTGAACCCCTTCATAAATGTTACTGTGCTCACACTCCAACAGCACGTCAAGTATTAAAAACCATTTGTCTCCATTCACTCCTATCAAACACGCTCACGCATGCCTGCTGGAAGTCCAAGCCCCTCGCACACAAAACCTCCTTTACCCCCTCCCTCCAACCTTTCCTAGGCCAACCCCTACCTCGCCTTCCTTCCACTACAGACTGATACACTCTTGAAGTCACTCTGTTTCGCTCCATTCTCTCTACATGTCCGAACCACATATTACAGTATTTACTGCTAATGTCAGTTGAACACAGTTGAAAGGGGAGAAATTGCAAGACAGCATATGAGTCTTCAGAAAGTATATGACTTAGTTACACTGGCCATCTCCCTGTAAGGTAGGGTGACCCAAAAAAGAAACACTTTCACCATCCTTCATTCCATAACTGTCTTGTCAGAGAGTGTGCCAACATTACAGTTCAGATGCTTCTCCAAACTGCAAATATCCCCACCCCTCCTTCAGAGTGCACGCACTATACTTACCTTCAGGACTCGAGTCCTGAATCTCTTCACAAAGCTTTACCTTGCTCATACTCCAACAGCTTGTCAAGTCATAAAAGCCATTTGCTTCCACTCTTATCTAACATACCTGCTGGGTTTCCAAGTCCCTTGCACACAAAATATCCTTTCCCTCCTCCCTCCATCCTTTTTTAGAGCGACTCCTACCTCACTTTCTCCCCCACTACAGAAGGCTGGAGGCAGTGGAGATGTCATGTCTGAGGGCAATGTGTGGTGTGAATATAATGCAGAGAATTTGTTGTTTCGAAGTTAGGAGGAGGTGCGGGATTACCAAAACTGTTGTCCAGAGGGCTGAGGAAGGGTTGTTGAGGTGGTTCGGACATGTAGAGAGAATGGAGCGAAACAGAGTGACTTCAAGAGTGTATCAGTCTGTAGTGGAAGGAAGGCAGGGTAGGGGTCGGCCTAGGAAAGGTTGGAGGGAGGGGGGTAAAGGAGGTTTTGTGTGCGAGGGGCTTGGACTTCCAGCAGGCATGCGTGAGCGTGTTTGATAGGAGTGAATGGAGACAAATGGTTTTTAATACTTGACGTGCTGTTGGAGTGTGAGCAAAGTAACATTTATGAAGGGGTTCAGGGAAACCAGCAGGCCGGACTTGAGTCCTGGAGATGGGAAGTACAGTGCCTGCACTCTGAAGGAGGGGTGTTAATGTTGCAGTTTAAAAACTGTAGTGTAAAGCACCCTTCTGGCAAGACAGTGATGGAGTGAATGATGGTGAAAGTTTTTCTTTTTCGGGCCACCCTGCCTTGGTGGGAATCGGCCAGTGTTTTAACAAAAAAAAAAATACAGATTTATGCACCCTCCAATTCATCCTAATTTGCTGCATCCTCTAAATGTCCAAACGAACCTCATCAACCTCTCCTCAGCCCTCTGGATAATACTTTTAGTAACTTTGCACCTCCTCATCTCCAGGCTAGGAATTCTCTGCATAATATTTACACCACACATTGACTTCAAATACATCTCCACTGCCTCCAGCCTCCTCATTGCAACATTCACAACCCATACTTCATACCTTTATAAGAGTGTTGGTATCACTATACTCTCATACATTCCCCTTTGTTTCCATGGATAATGTTCTTTGTCTCCACACATGCCTCATTGCACCACTCATCATTTCTTAGTTCACCTCATCTTTCATATGTCCATCCTCAGACAAGTCCACTCCAAAATATCTGATCACATTCCTCCATACTTACTTCCTCCAGTCTGATTTTCAGTTTTTCCCTTACCTAACTCATTTGTTGCCCACATCACCTTGCTCTTAACTGTGTTCACTCCTAATGAATTGGCATTATCATATATTAAAATTTTGAATCTCCTTCACAGGTGGGCCTCATTGATCCAGGTCATTTCCGCACCATTGAAGAAACCATCACTTCTCAGTCAAAGGGTCGAGCCAAAATTGAGGTGATGAGCTTAAAAGATGTTAGTGATGCTGGAGATTTGTCCTTAACATAGTCGTCTTGATATTCTTGAGAGATGCATTATCTTGCTCTTATTTAAGTTTGTACAGACATGTTTGCAGGTTCCAGAAGGGATTGATGTCTACAAACTACCTGGTCATTGGAATTCAAGCTTTTTCATTTTTAAAGCTTGTGAAAGCTGCATTTTGCTAAAATAAAGACAAATCATTTTTTTTCATATATCTATAGATAGGGAGATGATTATCCTTTACATTACATATAAAAAGTAATGTATACTGTATACATAATTAGGAAAATTTGTTGAGCTTTTGTTTTGAGTATTTCTTGTGTTGCAAGCTTAATAAATTACTTTTTCTTTACAATTTCGTTGATATAAGTTGCATTAAAAGATCTTTTTTGTTAAGTCAGGAGAGTTATTAACATTGTTTGACTGGAGTGAATAAACTATTTTATATACACACTATTACAGTAACATGATACTGTATTTTGAGATGTAACACAAATCATTGTTATCATTCTGTAGGGATGGCAAGCGATTGACAATTTAGGGTAATGCACAGTGCACTTGCATTTTTGCAAAAGCTTGTGTCTTACTAGTGGAGGTATGTACCAGTATGTTTTGCAAAAGTTATCTCTGCATTTTTCTTCTGGAGTACAGTAACATACAAGTTATTTTATGGTTATTTTATATAACCAGACTTGAGTCATGGAAATGGGAAGTACAATGCCTACACTCTAAAGGAGGGGTTTGGGATATTGGCAGTTTGGAGAGATATATTGTGTATTTTTATACGTATATACTTCTAAACTGTTGTATTCTGGGCACCTTTGCAAAAACAGTGATTGTGTGAGTGAGGTGAAAGTGTTGAATGATGATGAAGCCCTTGTGGCTTAGCGCTTCTTTTTGATTATAATAATAACGAATGATGATAAAAGTATTTTCTTTTTGGGGATTTTCTTTCTCTTTGGGTCACCCTGCCTTGGTGGGAGATGGCTGACTTGTTGAAAAAAAAAAAGTTTTTTTTTTATAATTCATCCCTGAACTTTGTGTCATTATTTGCATTATAAAACCAGTGCTAGTAGTATACCTGGAGAGGGTTTCAGGGGTCAACGCCCCTGCGGCCCGGGCTGTGACCAGGCCTCTATTTAATAAAATTTTTGATAAATTTTTTTTCGACAATCCGGCAGTATCCCACCAAGGCAGGGTGACCTAAAAAGAAAAACGAAAGTTTCTCTCTTTTAAATTTACTAATGTATACAGGAGGAGGAGTTACAAGTCCCTTACTCCTGGCATTTTAGTTGATGTACTACATGCATGACTTAAAGAAAGAATTCTGTTCCACTTCCCCATGGAGAATAAATTTTGAATAGTTATTGAATTATTTATATATGGAATAAATCTATTTCACTATGAAACATTACTAAAAAATTTACATGGAAAAATATACTCTGTATTACAGTAGGCAGCTAAGAAATGTAGCAAGAAAGTAGAAAAGTGCATAAGAGAGTTAAAAAGAACAGAAGGAAATGTATCGTTATTGTATTGATTTTGTAAATTATGGGGCTGTTTGTAGGCAAAACAAAAGTGAGACACTTTTCCATCAAAAAAAAAAAATCCATGTCAGAAAGTTCCAATTATTTGCTCTATGATTCTAGGTTATCTTATTTCAGTTTTATGTCTGGCGGTATTTAAAAGTACTGTACTACTGTGTTTTGAAAAGTGTTTAAACAGATTTTTAAGTTTCAGCCATCACTAATTTCATATTTATACCAGCATTTAAGACAGGTTTATATGAATTTGATGTTTGTGTACAGGCAGGCCCCGCTTTACAGCACTTTGCTTTGCGACGTTTTGCACAACGGTTTCCAATTATACCCATTCTTCATTTATTCAGACTTCCTACAATAAATATATTCACCATTCACTAAAAACTAAGGATGAAAATTATTTTAAAGGAATGTGTACACTGTATATGCATTTTTCAGGTATAGCTCTGTTACTCACTTAATATATGATAGTGTAAACATGTTATCAGGCTTTTATATGCATTTGAAAGTAAAAAAAAAAATTGCTGTGTTTCAGTAGCCTGGAACCTAACCTGCTATATAAGTGGGGCCCTCCTGTATTTGTGATGTCATCAGTCCATCCATTAATGGCTTTCACTCTCTAGAGAAAGTTAATTATTTAATGTTAACACTTTATTGAAGATTTTGTTTAAAGTTAAATTAAGACTGAATAAAAATTAACATATTTATAAAATATTCTTACCCTTATTATGCAACTCTGTCTCTACAGGTCTCCCTCAACATTCACGAGGGTTAGGGGATCAAGAGCCTCGCGAATGTTGAAAAATCGCGAATGTTTGGTGCCCCAATATATGGTAGGGAAATATAATACAATATTGCTTCCTTAACTTGTCGAACCATGAACAATCATAAAATACATGAAAACGTCGTAAATTGTACTAAATACATACGTTATGGCTTAATAACATGTATGTTATTAAATACCACTGCCTCCACCACTGCGAGTCCCTACAACCCTCCCTCTGACCCCCCACAACTGGCAGCCAGCCCTCCCACCACTGTGTGGTGAGTGTTTTGTTTGTTCATTATTTGCTTTTAAACTACAGTATAAATAATGTCAACCCATTTATGACCGCATATTAGAATGGCTATTCGGACAGGTATTGGAAGGTGACATCATATGTTTACTCTTGAACACAGCAAAGAATCAAACATTTGTGCTACTGCTGCTGCTAATAATAATAATAATATAATAATAATAATAATAACAAATACGATAGAATTGAAGAAGGAAATTGTACAAAAATACGAGGGTTGAAGCAGTGGTGGAGGAAGTGGTTGACGCAGCGTCAGTGTGACTTTGTTTATGCTGGAGTATTAGTCTCCCTGCTCTTCCAAACATTTCACAATAATTCATTGTATTTGGTGCTTGTAGATTGAGTGTGACTGGAGTGGTTGAGGCAGTGGTAGAGGCAGTGATAGAGGCAGTGGTAGAGGCAGTTATAGAGGCAGTTGTAGAGGCAGTTAGAGGCAGTGGTAGAGGCAGTTATAGAGGCAGTTGTAGAGGCAGTGGTAGAGGCAGTTATAGAGGCAGTGGTAAAGGCAGTTAGAGGCAGTGGTAGAGGCAGTTATAGAGGCAGTTGTAGAGGCAGTGGTAAAGGCAGTTAGAGGCAGTGGTAGAGGCAGTGATAGAGGCAGTTATAGATGCAGTGGTAGAGGCAGTTATAGAGGCAGTGGTAGAGGCAGTGGTAGAGGCAGTTATAGAGGCAGTGATAGAGGCAGTGGTAGAGGCAGTTAGAGGCAGTGGTAGAGGCAGTTATAGAGGCAGTGGTAGAAGCAGTCATAGAGGCAGTGGTAGAGGTGGTAGAGGCAGTTATAGAGGCAGTGGTAGAGGCAGTTATAGAGGCAGTGGTAGAGACAGTTATAGAGGCAGTGGTAGAGGCAGTTATAGAGGCAGTGGTAGAGACAGTTATAGAGGCAGTGGTAGAGGCAGTTATAGAGGCAGTGGTAGAGACAGTTATAGAGGCAGTGGTAGAGGCAGTTATAGAGGCATTGGTAGAGGCAGTGGTAGAGGCAGTTATAGAGGCAGTGGGAGAGGCAGTTATAGAGGCAGTGGTAGAGGCAGTTATATAGGCAGTGGTAGAGGCAGTTATAGAGGCAGTGGTAGAGGCAGTTATAGAGGCAGTAGAGGCAGTTATAGAGGCAGTGGTAGAGGCAGTTATAGAGGCAGTGGTAGAGGCAGTTATAGAGGCACTGGTAGAGGCAGTGGTAGAAGTAGTGGTAGAGGCAGTTATAGAGGCAGTGGTAGAGACAGTTATAGAGGCAGTGGTAGAGGCAGTATAGAGGCATGGTAGAGGCAGTGTAGAGGCATATAGAGGCAGTTATAGAGGCAGTGGGAGAGGCAGTTATAGAGGCAGTGGTAGAGGCAGTTATATAGGCAGTGGTAGAGACAGTTATAGAGGCAGTGGTAGAGGCAGTTATAGAGGCAGTAGAGGCAGTGGTAAAGGCAGTTATAGAGGCAGTGGTAGAGGCAGTTATAGAGGCAGTGGTAGAGGCAGTTATAGAGGCACTGGTAGAGGCAGTGGTAGAAGTAGTGGTAGAGGCAGTTATAGAGGCAGTGGTAGAGGCAGTTATAGAGGCAGTGGTAGAGGCAGTTATAGAGGCAGTGGTAGAGGCAGTTATAGAGGCAGTGGTAGAGGCAGTTATAGAGGTAGTGGTAAAGGCAGTTATAGAGGCAGTGGTAGAGGCAGCTATAGAGGCAGTGGTAGAGGCAGTTATAGAGGCAGTGATAGAGGCAGTTATAGAGGCAGTTATAGAGGCAGTGATAGAGGCAGTTATAGAGGCAGTTATAGAGGCAGTGGTAGAGGCAGTGGTAGAGGTAGTTACAGAGGCAGTTATAGTGGCAGTGGTAGAGGCAGTTATAGAGGCAGTGGTAGAGGCAGTTATAGAGGCAGTGGTAGAGGCAGTAATAGAGGCAGTGGTAGAGGCAGTTATAGAGGCAGTGGTAGAGGCAGTGGTAGAGGTAGTGGTAGAGACAGTTATAGAGGCAGTGGTAGATGCAGTAATAGAGGCAGTGGTAGAGGCAGTTATAGAGGCAGTGGTAGAGGCAGTAATAGAGGCAGTGGTAGAGGCAGTTATAGAGGCAGTGGTAGAGGCAGTGGTAGAGGCAGTTATAGAGGCAGTGGTAGAGGCAGTTATAGAGGCAGTGGTAGAGGCAGTGATAGAGGCAGTGGTAGAGGCAGTGGTAGAGGCAGTTATAGAGGCAGTGGTAGAGGCAGTTATAGAGACAGTGGTAGAGGCAGTTAGAGGCAGTGGTAGAGGCAGTGATAGAGGCAGTGGTAGAGGCAGTTATAGAGGCAGTGGTAGATGCAGTGGTAGAGGCAGTTATAGAGGCAGTGGTAGAGGCAGTTATAGAGGCAGTGGTAGAGGCAGTTATAGATGCAGTGGTAGAGGCAGTGATAGAGGCAGTTATAGAGGCAGTGGTAGAGGCAGTTATAGAGGCAGTGGTAGAGGCAGTTATAGTCAGTGGTAGAGGCAGTGATAGAGGCAGTGGTAGAGGCAGTGGTAGAGGCAGTTATAGAGGCAGTTATAGAGGCAGTGGTAGAGGCAGTTATAGAGGCAGTGGTAGAGGCAGTTATATAGGCAGTGGTAGAGGCAGTTATAGAGGCAGTGGTAGAGGCAGTTATAAAGACAGTTATAGAGGCAGTGGTAGAGGCAGTTATAGAGGCAGTGGTAGAGGCAGTTATAGAGGCAGTGGTAAAGGCAGTTATAGAGGCAGTTATAGAGGCAGTGGTAGAGGCAGTTATAGAGGCAGTGGTAGAGGCAGTTATAGAGGTAGTGGTAAAGGCAGTTATAGAGGCAGTGGTAGAGGCAGCTATAGAGGCAGTGGTAGAGGCAGTTATAGAGGCAGTGATAGAGGCAGTTATAGAGGCAGTTATAGAGGCAGTTATAGAGGCAGTGGTAGAGGCAGTGATAGAGGCAGTTATAGAGGCAGTGGTAGAGGCAGTTATAGAGGCAGTTGTAGAGGCAGTTATAGAGGCAGTGGTAGAGGCAGTTATAGAGGCAGTGGTAGAGGCAGTTATAGTGGCAGTGGTAGAGGCAGTTATAGAGGCAGTTATAGAGGCAGTGGTAGAGGCAGTGGTAGAGGCAGTAATAGAGGCAGTGGTAGAGGCAGTTATAGAGGCAGTGGTAGAGGTAGTGGTAGAGACAGTTATAGAGGCAGTGGTAGAGGCAGTTATAGAGGCAGTGGTAGAGGCAGTTATAGAGGCAGTGGTAGAGGCAGTTATAGAGGCAGTGGTAGAGGCAGTTATAGAGGCAGTTATAGATGCAGTGGTAGAGGCAGTGGTAGAGGCAGTTATAGAGGCAGTGGTAGAGGCAGTGATAGAGGCAGTGGTAGAGGCAGTGGTAGAGGCAGTTATAGAGGCAGTGGTAGAGGCAGTTATAGAGGCAGTGGTAGAGGCAGTGATAGAGGCAGTGGTAGAGGCAGTTATAGAGGCAGTGGTAGAGGCAGTTATAGAGGCAGTGGTAGAGGCAGTTAGAGGCAGTGATAGAGGCAGTGGTAGAGGCAGTTATAGAGGCAGTGGTAGATGCAGTGGTAGAGGCAGTTATAGAGGCAGTGGTAGAGGCAGTTATAGAGGCAGTGGTAGAGGCAGTTATAGATGCAGTGGTAGAGGCAGTGATAGAGGCAGTTATAGAGGCAGTTATAGAGGCAGTGGTAGAGGCAGTTATAGAGGCAGTGGTAGAGGCAGTTATAGAGGCAGTGGTAGAGGCAGTGATAGAGGCAGTGGTAGAGGCAGTGGTAGAGGCAGTTATAGAGGCAGTGGTAGAGGCAGTTATAGAGGCAGTGGTAGAGGCAGTGGTAGAGGCAGTGATAGAGGCAGTGGTAGAGGCAGTGATAGAGGCAGTTATAGAGGCAGTGGTAGAGGCAGTGGTAGAGGCAGTGATAGAGGCAGTGGTAGAGGCAGTGATAGAGGCAGTGGTAGAGGTAGTGGTAGAGGCAGTGATAGAGGCAGTGATAGAGGCAGTGGTAGAGGCAGTGGTAGAGGCAGTGGTAGAGGCAGTGATAGAGGCAGTGGTAGAGGCAGTGGTAGAGGCAGTGATATTTACTAACATATATGTTATAAATAATAGTACATTATGAATAACTATTATTATTATAAATGTTATTAATATTAACATGTACTATTATTATTTATAACATATATGTTAGTAAATACCACTGCCTCTATAACTGCCTCTACCACTGCCTCTACAACTGCCTCTACAACTGCCTCTATAACTGCCTCTACCACTGCCTCTAACTGCCTTTACCACTGCCTCTATAACTGCCTCTACCACTGCCTCTACAACTGCCTCTATAACTGCCTCTACCACTGCCTCTAACTGCCTCTACAACTGCCTCTATAACTGCCTCTATAACTGCCTCTACCACTGCCTCTACCACTGCCTCTACAACTGCCTCTACCACTGCCTCTAACTGCCTCTACAACTGCCTCTATAACTGCCTCTATAACTGCCTCTACCACTGCCTCTATCACTGCCTCTACCACTGCCTCAACCACTCCAGTCACACTCAATCTACAAGCACCAAATACAATGAATTATTGTGAAATGTTTGGAAGAGCAGGGAGACTAATACTCCAGCATAAACAAAGTCACACTGACGCTGCGTCAACCACTTCCTCCACCACTGCTTCAACCCTCGTATTTTTGTACAATTTCCTTCTTCAATTC